TGGCACGTTATCCACTGGACGAAGACTGCGGGGTTAGCAGTTCTTCGTCGGATGTTGTCGATCACATCGGAGCTCCAAAGGAGCGGAATGTGAGGGTGACACCGGACGAAGCGGGGTGCGTTTTCACACTGGTCTCACCGGGACATAGAGCCTCTGTACAGAGGCGACGGTGACGCCGTATGCTGGCTGCAAGACGCCGGGAGTCGACCCCTGATCCAGGGTGTGTCTACATCAGACGACGGTACACAGTTATACACCCTCGTCAGCGGTATGACGGGGGGGGGGAGATGGCGACGTCCGCCTCGAAGATATGCCTGCAGTAAATGCTCATCTTAAGCTGGACGAGATGTCCCTTGAAAAGTTCGGCAGTGCCTTATAGGCAGACGATTTGGCCGAAGTGGTCATTGTACGACCGGACGAGGCGATAAAATCGTCATCGCTTCTGGATGAAGCTGTCTTGGAAGACACCAAGAGAGTGCTGAGCGCACGGAGTGGATCGTCGATCCTACGGAATCCCTTGGACCCGTACTATCCTTTGGTAAAGGAATTTCAAGACGTCGTCTAAAGACCCGCATTCGGTCTTACCTCCGTACCGAGGTGTGTGTCATGAGATCGACCTGGTTCCGGGAGCCAAATACTGCGTAACACGCTAATGGCCCCTGCCCAAGGAACAGTGCGACGTCATTGACGCCTTTTCCGTGCGAAGCACGTCGCAAGAATTGTGCATGGGGGCAAGTCTCCCCATTCGACACCCACGTTTTGTGTTCAGAAGCCGAACGTCAAGTGGCGTATCGTTCATGCTTACAATAAGCTCAACGCTGTCGCCATTCCGGCTTAAACGCCAACTCCTAGAAAGAATATACTTCAGAACAATATGATGGGATGTACGAAGTACAGTGCACTCGATTTGAAAGATGGATATTATCAATTGCTCATGAGAGCGAGTGACATTCCGCTGACAGCGGTAAGCACTCCGAGCATCATGCTCTGGGAGTGGCTGGTGATGTCCCAAGGGCTGTCAAATGCACCAGTAACATTTAATCGTCTTGTGACGCAGTTCTTCAAGCCCCACAGGGCGTATGCACAGACATACTTTGACGACATTTTCGTTCACAGTCGTGCGGAGCACGGAAGGACGGATGAGGAGAACCACATCGTTCATCTAAGAGTGGTGCTCGAGTGCATGCGCACAAACAAACTGTACGCCAAAGCAA